TGGCTACAATCGTTTCTAATCCTCGCATTTTTTTAAAGCTTTTGGGACTACAATATCTTACTCTAATGGAGGCCACGTCCAGGGAATGTAAGACAGTAAAACCTTTCTAAGGTGCAGCATCATATTATACTTTCAACGCCATAATCGCGTTTTTTCCGATTCATCGCCTCAAGCATTATTCTCCAGTTCCACGCCAGCTAAGCTTCCATATCCAACACAATACAACAAACACTTGTGCCACTAGATGAGGAAGCATCAGACGGTATGAAACAATTAATAATCAGGCGCTTTCCCCTCTTTCAGGGAATAGGACATATTTTCGGCGATGAATTACAAGACAAACAGAAATCCTTCTGTATAAATCGTCTTAGACAACCTCATTCGTATGTTTCAAGTGTTTTTCAATTTTGCCGCACTGTCGCGACGCTTTCAAAAAAACTCTTTGAATAGGCGGTTCAAGGAGACCACACGCAGCGTATACCCCACTTTTTTCTAATCTCAAAAAACAAAAAAAGTAATACGCCCTTATGCTAGTCGCTCTCAACAAGACTAGTATTCGCTTCACAGTATTTTGATGATGTCCGTATATCAGTCGAACCTCACAGTGCATGGACTGATATTCGCATCACAGTTTACATACCAGCTCGAAAATACTTAACATATGTCGCCCTGGTATTGTTATTGTTATAGACTTTAACTAATGCACAGTTTGTTTAGTCAAGTTGTCATAGCCTTATTATATTGTCTTATTTCGCTGTAACTTCTATCACATACAATAGAACAAAAATTGTCTAACTCGTAAAATTAGCCTTGCTATGTCATTATGAGACCGATATCAATTATCATGGTGTATAAGGAGAACCCATAGGTTAACTGATCACCACTGTAACCAATTAATCCCATACATATGTTGTTATATGACGCTTACATCGAACGACACTTTTATGACTTTTATCCGTATCACCACCCTACTACTTCTTTTCGGCTCGAGGTCGAGTCTTTTTCTCGAAGGTGTGGCGAGAGCCCTCATGGACAACATTTTTGTACTTTCTAGCTGTTTCTGTATAACGCAATTTGTCACCTGTCTCGTCCGCATTACTACACGATCAACAGCAGCACGATATTCTAGGATACGTATTTTTTTTTCATCAACTTTCCATCTCTCTCCTCGACGGAGCACAGTACCGCTTGAGAGCTCATTTGAAGCTCGAGGACGAGCTTACTGTAAGGAATGGAGATGTCGTATCTTCGCTGCCCGACCGCCACCAGGACGAGACCACCTGTTCACGGACGTTACACGGAGCCACTATAAAACGAGCCAGATACCGGCAACTTGGCCTCTACACATCTCGAGCTCTAGCTCTGTGTGGCTTGCCCATCGTATCGGCTCTGGCCGACTTGTCCTAGCCTCCCCTTCATTCAGTCATGTTATAATCTAATATATATAAGTAATAAATTATGTATATACCTTCTGTTCTTTGTACCCACTTATGAACTCACGTCCCGCTACATCATCAGTTATAGGCCTCGCGAACCTATAATCTGATAAACACTCCATCGCGTCCTCCTTCTTGAAGACGGCGCTGCGCCCTCAGGCATCTGTTACTCTTCCTTAAGTGACCACCGTGACTCGAAGGAGACGAATTCCGTGCTCCCCTTCCATTCCTCGATCGGTACTCCATCCGGACAAGTTGACTACCCAACCTTCAACTGCCCTGCTGCTCGGCCTCTTCATGTTTTTTTTTTCCAAAATGCTATGTAGCCGGGGACTAAAAGGAACCCCACATGGGAGCTTTTTCCGTGGTCAGATCCTTCCATTAGAAGTCGAAGTGGTCTTTCCAACCACTTCTGACCACACTAGGCTTCCTCAGGATTGCACTGTCGCTCTCTTTTACAATTCTTTTTGCTCCGATGCCTGGAATATTAACATCAGGTAAGGAGCCGTTGCGCTAGCAGAAGTCATAGCGTATAAAGCTGACCACTATACCTCTGACAACGACCTAGAGGCATAACAAATCGTCCAATCCCTCTCTTCACGTGTCGGCCTCCTTCTATTCATAGACGGATCAAAAAGTTGTAAGACCCAAGACGACCTGAGGATGGAATCCCTCACATCGCTGAATACCATTATGCAAATAGACCATCCACTAGTATACATGATGGCATTTTGAAGATCCCAAGTATTGGAAGGTGCAACGATTGCGTGATGTGCCCCGCTGCTAATGTTCAAAAACGGACCGCGGCACGACCGCGCGCTTCGTCTGATTCGCGCAAATTCTATGTTCGTGTCAGATAAGACTAAAGTGAATTCTACATTTCCTCACTCATGGAAATGCTTGAAATCGTTACAAGCTTGGTTCCTCCTCGCAGCCTTTCCCGATCTAAAATTTTTATATAGTCAAATTTAATTCGATTCCTCCTGTTTAGTTGCTGTTCAAGAGGCTCTAATAAGTCATCACATTGTTCCGTAGTTGTTATTTCAAATAGTTTTCATTATTTCTTGCTTTCTACTCTATTTTCATGTTGATAATATTACAAAAACATTTTATCTACTCTACTTGTTGTTTACTTTTTTTGGATTAGTTCCATCTAAGATTTTTTCTGTTATTATGATTGACAGCTTGGATTGATGATTCTTACACCGCGTTTCTTTGAAAAGTCTTTTCCAATGATTTTTATGCTCCTATTAGGTCAACGTGTAGAATAAATTCAAACTTGTACCTTTCTTTTACTTTTTCATAAAACAAGGCTGTGGACAAGTTCCAGAACTTTAACTTAACTTGTAATGCTACTGAATCATAGGCTAGTGATAGTCTTTTGTTGTGAAATGAGCCGTTAGCTTTTAATATATTGTCCATACGATCGTTCCAATATATTGAAGTCTAAATAACCGTATTTAGTCCTCTATTTCATGAAGTACGTTTAATACGTAGTAGAGAGGGCGTCACTGATAAAAATGAAAGGGACGCTACAGTTATCAGCGACAATGGGGCTCGTAGACTGGCATCTCTCCTCACTGAACACTCTCTTACTTCTGGAGAGCAACTCCATTACTACTGAGCCTTACTAAGTATTTTGGGTATGGTAAGTGCCCAGCCATCCGTTTCCTTTTCGGTAGTTAGATCAGGAGTTAGTTGGGTAGAACTGAATAACTTTGGTTGACTGTAGAAGGCCACAAGTTTTGGGATGTGAAAAGCGGAGCTGTTGGGAGTAACCTTCGGAATTTGTGACGCAAAAGGTAAACAACTGACAGGAGAGACGTAAGTTTTGGTCCATCACCACATAACATAACATAACATCAGTTCAAATGTCTAGGTGCTTGGAATCTGCTAGCTTCTCCGAGCCCTTTGTAAAAGAATAATGTCGATTTCGTAGATCTTTATCAAGCTGTAGCACTTTGAATTTGTTCCTTACCACAGCTTTTGGTCAAGTACCGCTTTTCGGCTTCACTGTAGCCGATAGCCGAAGGCGAATGGTGAAATAGACCGTACGTTCACAGTCCGCTGTGTTTGCGTCCATACCGCCGATACCGGCGTCGATCGTAGATCGACTCCCCTCAAGTGGACGCCTTTCTAGCGCTTGAACATTACTGTTCTGCTCTGTTTCTTCGCATGCCAATGGATTACTGCTTCAACATTGATTAATTAGTAGTTTTCATTGCAAGGCTGGACCGGACCCACAGCCGGATTACCTTTCGTGTTCCAGCGTTCAGTTTTCGTTTCCATTTTCGCCCATCGACCAACGGCGATTATGAGGGCGGCTAGTACGCTGTAATTTTCACCGCTCTGGACAGTTTTATACCGAATACCACAGCTTCTGAAGGATTTCCCCGATCTGTCCCAGTTTTTTTTCGAGACCTTTCATCATTCATCTTTTTTCAACATGTTTGGATTTTGTTTTCAACATGCTGCTAATACTTCAAACCCGAAATCAAGCGCATTTTCAAAAAAAAAAAAAAAAAAAACGACGGCAGTAGAAGTACAAAGAGGAAAAGTTATTGCAATCAACGTGACACTGTGGAGCGCTTAATAGCTCGACAGTGAAATTGGTACTTTGAACTAATTTAGCCATCCAACTTTCGAACTTTCCTGTACTAGTACAGGATTCATTGCAAATCGCTTGGTGTCAGTTGCACTGTGTTCGCCGTTTATTTATACAGCCATCGTATTGAATACCCGTTTTGCATTGCCTCAAATCTGAAGCGTTCAAAAGCCACCCATATACTCTCAGTTATCTTTTTTTTCGCTTCAAAAGGTTCACTCTATTCAAAGGCACAGTTCACGACAATCCTGAGCTATCCAACTTAAGTGATAATGAAAGCTACGATGCAGAAAGTGCAAAACTGGTGAGGAAAGCGTCAAAATAGGCGGATTTCAAGAAATAGAAAGCTTTTAAAAAAAGAAGCAAGGAAGGGGTAGTACGAGATTGCGTGACTTTAATCGTCTTGCTGTCTCCCACTTAGAAGTAGTATTCGTTGGTATCTTAACGCTCTATTGTGAATGGTGTAGCCATGACAAGACTGTCATAACACGTCCAGTTTTGGGTGTGTACGTCGGCCAGGCCGGCGGGGGAAGGCTTTTATTCCTGGCTTCGCTTATTATCAACACATCCGTAATACACAAAATTTCGGCAATAACAATTCTGTACATGAGTGCAACACTTCGTGAGCATAATAGATTAACATATAAACGGTAATTCTGTTCATGAGCGAAGTATGCTTAAGGACGCCGCAGAATAACATATGTACACTAGCAAAATACTTTAGTGAGCACAATAGAATAACATGGATGGACAATGGAATGCGTAGTATGATAATAGCTGAAGAGATCATCATTATAAATTCGTTCTCACGATATTAGGCGAAGTCGATGCCGAGTGAATACGTCGATGCTATAGATGGAGTCAGGTCGTCGATTGTGCGAATGAGCTGATGCTGATTCAAACATGAAAACAGATAATAATTGATTGTGATATATGTAAAAGGGTACCTGTGGTGAGTTTCAAATTGGAGTAGGGTCCAAATAATTCAGTATGGATGACGATGACTTCCACCGTCCCACTCTCCTTATATCCTCGCTGCTGACTCCCCTTCTTAGGGCCGCAGTTGCTGCTCCTCCTCGGAAAGAATGTGACGTCAGTCCTTTGTCCCGTAGGCCCGAACATCGAAGAACGTTCCTTATTCGCTTCCGTAAAGTGTCGGTAGAGGGAGCTCTAGTAGAAGAAGGGGCGAATATGAACTGGTTGCGAGATTTATCGGCCAACGATTGGAGGAATTTACTCCAAAGGACTAAACGTCTGCCTTGAAGTTTGAACGCCACAGTCGTTCCCTTCTTACACTGATCTGTTTTAGACTTCGGTATATGGAGCCACCACAGGCCGTCTTCCTTCGACTCCAAATGCTCCTTACGGACTGCTGCCGCTTCACTGATTCTGAGGAAAGCCGCAAATAATAGTAAAATAATACAGCAGTCTTCTGTAGCTTTGATTGTGTCGGTGTTTAGGGCCCAATCAATTACTTTATCAATGTCTTCTTCGGAGGCCTTCCTTTTGTGTACCACCACAGGAGTTTCCTTTTTAGCTGAATCTATGAGCAGCTTCTGGAGCTCCGCCTCTCCTCCCTCTAACCGACCATAAAAGAAGTTAAGAGCCGCTATAGCCATTTGCAGTACTTTCAACTGGTTTTCATTGATCAGGTGCGCGAGGAAAAGATTCCTCAACTTCCCCAGGTGAGATCTATCCACCGACAGCGTAGACGCAAAGTCTTCGAAACGTTTCCTCATGGACGAGTAGGCCGCGATCGTTGCCGGGGCTAAGGATTTGTTTGCAGACGTGCCGATAACTTGAGCTAACTCTTCCATCCCTGCGCTTCTGGCTGTCACTATGGTCTCCGACCAGGCCTTTCATTTCGGACCTGAATAGAAAACGCTCAGAATTCAAATTGCTGACCTAGAGTCAATATGACTAAGTATCCTGAAGCAACCCTTCGGGCGGGTGGGTGGGCACACAGTGACCAGGAATATGCCGGAATGAGGCTGTTTCGTCAGGTCATCGCCTCCAAGGGACGCGTGACCTGACACGCCTATTTCGTAACCGTAGGATATGCCCTCGTTAGCCTGCGCAAAACAACGCTTTTGACTACGGAACTCCGTCAAAAACTACATTTTGCTCGGCTAACTCGTCGGAAATATAAAGCTCGAGGGTTTATGGCGTCTGCGAAAAATCGACTTTGGCA